GACATCTACAGACCATCTTAAACCCCTGCTAACATCTTTGTGGCAATGATAAATCACACTATTAAATATCAGTTACTAGACACTGACATTCAGTTGGCTCAAATCATACGCTTTTCTTTATTTAGTGTCAGCTACAGGTTTATGGCAAAGGCATAACTTCAATCAAATGAAAAGGAGAAACGCTCTGACTCAGCAATCTGAATTCACCTATCTGTACCCTGCAGTCTCAAGAGGGCACAAGCCTTGCATCTCTTGTGTTTCTACTTGCTCTAATACTCAAGTAGACTGAGATGATACTTCAGTTAGTTACTACTAAAGAACTATATTCCTTTGGCAGGAACTAATTTCTTCAGCTGTACTGATGTTACATCACTACAGTTAGCATTTCCCCACTCAGTTTGGCCAGAAGGACCAGCCACAAGAAAAGAAGCAGGCATTCATTTCAGTCTTGTTAGCTTAACTGCAATGATCAGCTTAGGTGTATTATTATCGGAGACAATCCCATTGCAAAGCTCTAGGATTGTGGTCTTTGGATTCCTCAAGTTTCCCTCCTCCTTCTTGCTTCCTTTTATGCATTCCAGTTTACCCCTCCAAACTTTTCCTTTCGATTATCTAAGAACGCCAGTACCTTTGGTCTGCTTTGTAAACCTTCTGTAGGTTCTCATCCTTTCCCAGTCTTCTGGCCTCTAGGGAGCAACAAAGCAGCACAGTGAGAAAAATACTTCAGTACTGTCCAGAGAAGAGAAAAAGCACAGACAGGACCTGAAAAGCCTTAGTACAGCAACAGGCTCCTTAGAAGTTCTGTGCAGGAACTGCAAGTAACCAGCGTGGGAATCACAGAGTATTTTCCCTCTGGGTCAACAGTAAGCAATACCAGCTGCCAGTGCAATGAATGAATTTCCTTTTCTGATGATCACCAGGGTTGTCAGCAATGTTCTTGCACCCTGGAGAAGTAGGTGACACTCCTGCACCGCACAGAGAAATGAGAGGACTGATCTTAAGATTGCCTGCTTGGATATCAACCTTAACTACTTGGTGTGACCTTCGTTTACATACCATACATTTTGCCCTCCTGTACTGAACCAAATACTGTAATGTTTTGTTTACAAACACATTCAAGGGAACATTGGTTTTGCCCTTGCCCTACATTTCCCTTTCCCTTCCCTGTTCAGCAACTCTTAATATATTTCCTTTTTTACTCTTATTATAGAAGTTATTACTTCATGCTAAATATTTTAATCATTTACTGGCATCTATACGATTGTGAGGGGGCTTCATTTTCCACTGTTTACAGGGTCAACATTGAATCGATTTATTTATATTAAACAAACACTTCACTATTCAAAAAAAATGTTCCTGCTTTGATTCATGCTTATAAGGCTTTATTCTTTTTAAATAAAAGAGCAGGCTGAGAGAGAAAACTTTCCTTGCTGCAGCTTATCAAACAAAGCTTATCAAAACAAAGCAACACCCAGACTCACCTCTTCTGACATCCATTTTCATTCCACTGACTTTTGCTCCGTCAGACTATTCCCTCTGCAAAACCTGCTCTCTATCTCCATTTGTCTGATTATCCTCCCTTCCTCTCTATAGGCTTTGACAAGCTTTTCTTCCTTCTCCAGCTTCATCCCAGTTTTTCGCCTTGTGCAGCTTAAAACTCCACCACAGATGTGCTAGCTCCTCTCAAAATGAAACACGATCCAGAAGCCACCAATAAAAAAAATCTTAAATAAAGTAGCAATAAATAGCAGAACATCTTGGATAAATACCAATTTTTAAAGAATTTAGGAATTAAGCAGTTGTAAGAGTAGGAGCTGGCTGATGGGTTTAGGTTTCACTGTGATATGTACTCTCATGGAGAAATAGCCATATTCAGGGAGATGCGTACAACTGCATTACACGTATTATGTCCCTTTAGATAATACAGTTAGAAGTAATTATTGTTGCACAATTTCAGGCAAATGCTCAGCAGTATTTTCTGTACCTGAATGCATCGTATATGTGCCTCTCAGTTTTTTTTTTTTTTTTTTTTTTTTTTTTTTTTTTTTTTTTTTTTTTTTTTTTTTTTTTTTTTTTCAACATCAGACTCATGTGATTGTATATAATTTATTCCTATCAGGATTTCCTAATTATTTCTCTCTTGTCCCACTTTCAGTTTGTTGAACCTTGCCGAAAAATCCTACTGTCCAGCTAAAACAGACCTGTGCGCCATCACTCACATAGATTTTATTATGAAAACGTAGTACATTTGTATTAGTATGCAATTCAAAAGCAGATACACAATCTTCAAAAAGACGACTCTGAGCATTTATTGAGGGGTGGTATGCTAGAGAACAATGATGATCCAGTGTTGAAAGTGCAACTGTAATATTCTAGTTTTGGATTCAGTTTCCCTCTCTGCCCAAAATTCTTCATACAACTTTCCCAAGTCTTTCAGCTACAGATTCACAAGGGTCAATAAGCACTTGAGTATCTTTGAAATAATAGTAGTCTTGCTATTCTACCTTGTGCATTTTGTAGGATTGGCAAGGGTTTGAGCATGGGTGCCGAACGGGCATTTTAGAGAATTCACAGAGAATGTTTGGAGGCATACAGGGAGAGATACAACAGGTAGCATTCACTATGTGAGACACTCCATTCCTCCTCTTTGTCAAGGTAGGAGAAAAGGTATGAAAAAACTTCTAAGTAATTTTGCACAGAGTCATTCAGAAGCAATTGCATAGTTCTACACTCACCAGCTATCCTTTTCTTTCACATGGATCTAAAGGAACTTGTACTTACTAGGTGCCGCTTGATCCTTTTGCACTGGGGGTTTTGGCTATCTTCACAGCGGATCCATCCTTTACATTTAATAAAAAGAATCAAGTCACATATGTAGGTATGGTGAGATGTGGGTGTCCTGACAAAAAGATTTGGCCTCACACATCCCACCTACAGTTTTGGTTTGATTTCCCCCCCCTCCCCCCCCCCACATGTTATTGCTGTCTATGAGTCATTTCATTAATCCAGAGAGAAGGCTAGAAAACAAGTGAATAAACACCCTGCTTCACAGACTTCTGTCTGCACTATTTACTTCCCTAGTAATGAATGAATAGCTAAAAAACAGAATTATCCTAATTGAGGACATTCAAAGGGACATTATCTCCTCTTTGTCAATAGCTGCTGCCTGGGTCTGCTTTTGATTACATTACGGTGTTAGAGGATGGTCTCTCAGTGCTCACTCCCAAAGATCGACCATGTAAAGATGACAGTCCAGGAAAACAGTGAGAGGGCACATATACACAAGTCGAAAAGGAGAGCACAGGAGTCTTTTACAGGACTCACCTTTCCTATAAAAGATTAAAAAGCAACGAATATGAGAAATCCCAAACAGTGTTCTGATGCCGGACAGAGGATGCTGTCCCCAGCTGCGCAAGGTCGAACTTCCTTATACGCACGGTGCTGGAAGTTAGCATACGCTTGGGTTTTGGAGTTCATTGTGTCTGCACAGACTGGGCTGCTCATTCATCACACATATGGTTTGAAATGTCCTCGTCTCCCTTTATAAATTTTACAGCTGGCAAAGTGGTCCTATGTGTAGTGATAAGAATAAAAATAGAGGAGGAAGAACTAAATGAGAGACAAATTGCTGTAGCCTCCGTTTGCCTTCCAGTGAAGGAATTAAAGGAATTCAAGGTCTAATTTCTGCCATTATGGAAACCTGAGTTCTGCTCTCCCTTGCAGCCCTACAGCTGCTAAGTCTGACGCTGGTGCAGAAATAGATACATATGAACCAAGGCTCCGTGCAGTCTATGCTTCATCCCAACTCTTTTCTGATTCACAGGGCATACCTCAAATTTGTCTTGTCTCTTCTGAAAGCATTACACAGAGTTAAACCTTAGGACTCTTACATGGAACATCTTAAGGCGTTTAATAATTCCCTGTCAACTTACAGGAAAGAATATTGATGGTTTCTTCATAAAACCACCATGTAATGCACACAGAAAGCACTCTAAATAACATCCAGTGTACTATGAATAATTTTTATAATAAACTGTGATGGCAAGTCTGCTTGCGCTCCTCGTATACCCTTTCACCTTTGTTGTTATATATGCTGAACTTTTTGAACTTAATCTAACAATTATATTTCTGCACTTTAGCATATACTTGAACACATTCTTCTCTGATCTGCTTTCAGAGAGAATCTATGGATTTCTATACCAAAGAGGGTTGATGTTCAGCCCCTGAGCTTACTGAACCTACAGCCTAGCAGAACGTTTAATTCAACATTTGGCCATTCCCTGATTTCTTTCCCTTTCACCCAGTTCAGTGTCCTCCCATCATATAACGGGATAGCAGCCTGTACACATCTCCACCATGGGAGTGGTGCATATCCACTTATGGAACAACTGGTCACTAAGGAATTTTGTCCCTGCCAGTCGCTACACAAATGGAGATGCCCGCCTAGAATATGTCCAAACACCTCTCATAGAAACTGCTGTGTACACCCACGTGACCTTCTATATGAGGCCAAGTGCTAAGCACCATTCTATCAAAGATGGTCTTTCTTCTCCCTCACCTCCCTCAGGCTCCACAGCCCATGTGTGGGGAGGGTTGCCTCAGTAAGGCTGGCTGGAAGAGCACGTTCTTGCGTCCAGATGCCATACGTACAATAGGTCCAGCCTCACAGCAGACATACTGCTCACTCCTACTCACCACTAATATCACAGGGCAGCTTTTCATGGGTCTTGGGACACGATCTGCCAGGCAGCTTCCCACAAAACTTTAATCTCCCACAGAGCTGAAGTACAGGCACTAAGCAATATGTACAGACAGACAACTATCTCTACACCATTTCAGCTGATTTGCCCTGCCTCATTTGCACATGTAGAATAAGGGATTTTTAGCGAAATGTCTTCCCCACTGCTCCTCTCCTCCCCTTCTTTGGGCTGAACAACGTCCAGAGGCTGATGGGAAAGAGACAACACAAGGACATGAAAGAAGACAACATTTACAGGCAGTGAGGCTTCAATATAGAACTCTTTACGCCACAATATGTCTCTATAAATGCATACACATATTTGATTTGTAGTTCTAAATCGAAAGCATTTCAGACACAATCCTTGAAATACATTCACGTATACTTAACTTTAGGACATGCAACCTTAAAGATGCAAGCACACAAACTCAAGTCTTGACACAGAAATATTTGACATGCAAACATAGAAGACTAGTATGCTGTTAAAAAAAAACACTTTGGCAGTATGATATTTTTGATTAATAGAAATTTAAATTAAATTTCTCCTTTCATCTATGGAGCAGTTAATTCTAATCAAGTAAGCAGTTGCCTGGGTGAGACTAATTAGATTCTTCCACATTATTAGTTCAACATATTTAATCATATATGGTACACAAACATCAACTTCCTTTTTAAATTTTCAGTGGAAATAGTTTTCTGATGTTGGCAACAAAATCTACCTCAAAGGGAAATACATGATTTCAGGAATACTACACAGAAAAGTTCCAAGCTCAAAAAAATGCTTTAAAGTTAGTTTCCTTAGTACAGAACACCATCACTTAGATTTCATATAGAAAATAAGCAACACTTTATGTTAAATTGAAATTATGGAAAGAAGGTTGGTGGACGATGACTGTACATATGTTATGAGAGCAAACAATATTAACAAACTAAAGGAATCTTCTATTATCATAGGATTGCTGTCAGTCAAGCATATAATTGTGATAACCTGACATGAAGGAGGTCTGAAGTGACGGTTCCAGATGCCTTAAGACAGTTATGTGCTTCTAGAGTTAATGATTGTTAACTATTGTTCCTCGAGAAACAGCTTAGAAGATGAGTTTATGCAAGAATGACAATTTCATCTAAAAAACATTTGATGGCTCTGTCTAGTGCCAGCCAGGGTTACAGCTGGATGTAGACAATCCATTACGTAATAAGGAGGTAGACCTAGCTGAGTCACTTTAAATTAGGAAATTCAATTCCTTCCTACTCCTCAGATTTTAAATATCCTATAGCAAAAGCTTCTACAGGATTTTTTTTTAATGTTTAGAGAAAAAAGTGAAATACCGCAGGCAAGTACTTCCACAAGAAGTACCCATGAATCCCAAGTAGTGTAAAACACAACAGACTAACAAAATTAAGAAGGAAAAGAAAATCATAGAAGTTAAAAGGCAGACCACTAGTCCCACGCTGGAGCTGGAAGGGCTGATGGCACTACTTGCACCCACACATTCGCCAGAGTACCGCGATGGAGGAAGCACTTCAACCTCTCGAGGAATTCTCTGAGGCACGGGAGTAGAGAAGAGCTGTGTGCCACACCATCATGAAGGAGACTTGCATGACTCTGAAGGAAGACCAGCAAACTGCTGGGTTTCCTCCAAAGGAGGCACCTATAAATGTTGAAGAGTAAACTCACAACCCATTCTCAAATGGGCATTAAACATACTATGTTCTAGTTAGGCTCATTTCTTTGTGAGCTTTTTGTATTGCCCCAAATGCTGTGAAAGTCATGTTGTAGCCAGATTACAGTTTTGCATGGCGCACAGACATTTTTCCGGCTATTCTCTGCTGCTTGTGTCTTTCCTCCTTTTACCATATTACATACAACGTGGATTCTTGTTTCCTGCTAGGTAGTGGGATTCCTGGAAGATCTTCCAAAACTTTAAACTACAAGAGGTTCAGAAAGGAGAGAAGAGGCAGTACAACTGTAATTGAGCCAAAACAGAAAAGGAGTTTGCATCATGGAACATGTTAGGCTTGAGACAACTATTTAGGTTCTTATGCAAGACAAAAGTCATACACAGTGATGAACTGCAAGACAAAAATGCAAAATCTGTGCAAGCAAAAAAGTTAACCTCACCTTTTCAAGTATCTCCCTTTTGCAAACAAAAGGGAGATCATCCAGACAACTATGAGAGAGCAGAACTTAATCAGCAAAATATATTTGTTCAGTTATTAGCTGCTTTTACAAAAGAGCCATTTATTTGGTATACTAACGGCATTTATTCAAAAGTCTCATTTACAAACATCATACCCAGCCTTACTTTAGATTACCTCGGGGTGGGAAAAAGAAAGAAAAGGAGTATGTGTTGTATATCCATCTCTAGGGAAACTTAATTATTTCTAAATTCAGAAAATTGCTCTGGGTTGGAGCAGCAGCTAATATCCTAACCAGAACTTCCTTGATCATTACCCAAGCAGTAGCATTTTTCTTCTAACAACTTGAATCCTCCTCCCCCACCAGTTTTTCTCTTCTAACACATTCCATTCTAATTTTAGTCTTTTGAGAAGTTTCTTTTCCAGATCAACCCACTCTTTTTCACATTTAAATAATTTTCAGTTTTTTAAAGAGCTCGGCTTTAGCAGGTGTTTCAGTAGCTAAGCAATAAGAAATGTCTCTTGAGAACATTCTTCCAAGTTTCCCAAATCGATTAGCCTGGAAGTTTCAGAATAATATTAGGCAAAATAACCATGCTCTTTAATTTCAAAAACTTGAATAAAACTCCCAAGACAAAAAAAAAAAAACCTCCTTCCACCCCTCCACACCCCCCAAAGAAAAGACATAAGCACTTATACTCCTTGCTAATGAATAAAAAGGGTGTGATAAGAAGCAGTTGCAACACTTGGCAATACCTGTAATTAACTTGAATGTAGATAAATCAACAAAAATAATTTTAGAAGCTTAAAGTGCAAGAAAATGATGCAACTCCTCCTTTTCTGAATTATGTTTAGCTTCAGTGCAGCCCCGGGATCAAGAACGCTAAAGGGTTTGCAACCATGCCCCAAGTAATTATGTTCTAGAGGCTAACGGTAGAAAACTGTATGATGTCCAAGCAGCAGAGACTTTACAGGTAATTTGGACCCTGTACCCCCATGCAGCTGAAGTATGCTTATTATCAGATTTAGAAACTAAACTGAAGCAAGGTCAAGATACCTTTACACTACCTTTAAGTACCACCCCTCCTCAGACAAAACAATCTGGTCCTTCATGTCACCTCCAGCTGTTCGAAAGCTGCATTTTGTGTCTTTCTGCTCCTGGAAGCTAAAAAAGCTGCAGTACATTTCAGCAATTGCTTCTCTTTGCACTCTCAAGTAGTCTGGAGTGCTAGGTCAGTACAGAGGTAGCACCTGCAGTAAAAAAATCAATTGGAGTATAATACAACAGTAGACATTTCCGATCTTTTCAGTATGACATATCGTTTCCATTTTTCTACTCCCCTTGTCCCATTAACTACTTCTAACCTCTCAGACCAAAAAAAGTTCCTATTTTAAAGCTGCAGTTAGTACTCAAAGAATTTTCTTAGATGGTACAAAGCTTTCAGGGAAATGTTTCTTCAGTAGTTTTTTTTTTTTTTAAACCTAGGATTGCTCTAACCACAGTTTTCCGGAGGTGAGATGTGTTCAAGTATATACCTAAAGTAAAATGCATCTCCCATATCGCTTGTCAGGTTGCAAGAATTTTTAATAATATTCTTTTTCTTTTACAGTATGTGTCCGCTGTCTTCTCAGCTCGCTTCCTCTCTTTCCTCCTATTTAGGCTATCTAAAAGGGAATTAACCCTGTTCATTCTCAGCTATGCCAGCTCCACTATTGAGAACAGTTAGGTGAACAAGGGCAATAATGGAATCCAGCTGAAAGAGGTATTTCTACAAAATGTTATGCACTCTTGGAAGAAATAAATGATTTCCTTAACATGTAAATTCATTCCCTACCTGCCTTTACTTCACTTCTCTCTGTGGTTTCTTGGCTGAGTGCAAGCAGGCACTGGCAAATGAGCTGGAGTCCACAGGTGTGTCCACAGGGATCACTCTTGAGCATGGATTAACACCTCCTCCCTACCGTTAACACAGCTTTAAAGCATTACATATACTTATGATTACAGTAAAATATTTAAAGGCTTAATTTCTCTCCTCCTCACTACATCTTCCTTTTCTCAAAAGCGCCTTTGTCTAAACATGGACCAAATAAAGTCTGAACAGAAAAGAGGACAAGAAATTAGATCAAACTGCCTATGTAGCATTCTCATTATCCCTCATGTCAGACAAGTCAGAAGCAGTTACATAATTGGGCCTCTAGACCCTAGGCAGTGAAGTGTTAAGAGAGAAAAGCAATCCCAGGCCTGCACGCTGGGTTTTGACAAACAGAAAACACAAAAGTAGGCCAACAGCGTACCATTAATGTTAGTTTTGAATTGTACCACGTCAGAAAAGGTTCATCATATGGTACACGTAGTCACAGAGGTAAGTTAACGTGCAGTGTACCAAACGGAAAAGTGAGGGAGTAATTTTATCTGTGCGTATACACCGGTCTGTGCAAGAGAGAAAGCGCACTCGTGAGTGAGTGACGGGAATGCATGTGGATGAGAGGAGCACAGTGGAGAGAAATACAAGGGGAGGCAGCAGCCCATAAGCAATCGCTGTGAAAAGGAATGGGGGTGGGGAATTGTTCACAGCCCTTTTTCAGCTTCTGCTGTAAAAATAAATAGACCTTTTAATCCATGTTTTCCTCGAAGCCTTCTCTATTGACCATTCTTTTTGTCTCTCCCTTCCTAGCTCTTTACCTCCTCTGTATGGCTTGATTAATATGCAAACGAATAATCAGTTTTATAATAGCCTATCCTTTTTAAAAACAGGCCATAAATTTGGACTCCAAGCACCAGGTTCTAAAGAAACTATTATACTGCATGGGAGATCTGCAACGGCTGGGGGAAGAGGCAAGACCCAGATACCACTATTAACACACCAGAGCTCTTTATAACTCGTGTGAATGTTGCTACATGGTGGGCACTTTGTGAGACAGAGCCAGCAAGCAGAAAGAAGCGTCTTTTACAAACTGGACGCAGAGTCTTTGCGAGCACCCGCAGGGCACTGGGTGCAGCTAGGCAGTGCTCCCTACGGGTTCTGCAAGAACATCGAAGTGCCACAAGCCTCAAGGGCCCAGAGGCTTTCGTTTGATTTGCTGCCAGCTACTGACGTTTTGGAAGCTCTCCGGAAAACCCAGCGCTTTCTCCCGACCTT